GTTCCCTGGGCAACGCAATCTGCCCTCCTCGCAGCTGCAAAAGGGAGTAACGGAGGATGGAGCGGGGTGAAGGCTCCGCGGCCAAACTCTGTTGCACTCCCTGTGCTGGGCTGCTGCTAAGCTGCACAGTGGCTGTCTAATGAGAGATATACGATAACAAGTCCGGTGCTGAGCCAGCAAAGGTGGCAAATGATGAACTTTGCTTGAACTTTGCTCATTATAATGTGAAAACCATACCTCCATCCCAAAAGTTACCCGCCTCCGAGGTACGACCACCCCTCACTGAGCATGCGCTCTAGATTTTCGGTTGACTGTACCTTTAAATGAAAGCGAGAAACTTTTTCACCAATCAATAACAATATTAAGTATGACTCTAGTCACTCAAGCTCCACCTGAATGTAAAGAAAAGTATAAAAGGTGAACTAAGGATGAAAAGTCTGGAGCGAAGAATCCATCGTAACTCCTGGGTCAGTAGTCGAGAGGAGCCCCCTTCCCTCCCCTCAGGTCCGGACGCTGCCTGAGCAGACTAAGGAGTGAGGGAGGGAAGAATCCATCATAACTCCTGGGTCAGTCGACAGGCTGATCCCCCTTCCCTCCCCTCGCGCCGGGACACTGTCTGAAGAGGCTAAGGAGTGAGAGGGAAGAATCCATCATAAATTCTGGATCAGTTGATGTGCTGATCCCCCCTCTCTTCCCCTTGCGTCAGGATGCTGCCTGAGGAGACTCGAGACTGAGAGCCCTCTCCCATCTTCTGGGGTGAGTGATGATTGCACATTTGCACATCAGAACTAGCTAAAACCCTACGCTCTAGCAGAGAATTTCCTGTACTGACATCCGAAACCTGCTTTGTAAATGTTGCATTTGAATAAATCATACTGTTTGTGAACTCGACTACTTGTCTAGGGGGAGGCGATCAGACCTACAGTTGACAGACTGTTCGTGAATCCAATACTGCCGGAGTTGAGCTTATAGTTGATCACACTATTTGGGAACTCGATTCGCTCCTAGGAAGGCGATCGGACCTACGGTCCACAGACTGTTCGTGAATCCGATACTACCAGAGTCGAGCTTATAGTTGATCACTCTATTTGGGAACTCGATTCGCTCCTAGGAAGGCGATCGGACCTACGGTCCACAGACTGTTCGTGAATCCGATACT